GATACAAAGTGTGGTAATTGCGGTGTTGTCAAGACAGCCTCCACTCCATAATGGCTCCTGGGGAGTGATAGATCACTCATTAAAATGACTTACATCTCTACTGAATTTTAATTAACAAAAGTGTGAGGAGCAGGTGTTAATTTGTTTTATAGACTCATTATAGTCCCTCGGGATTCCCTAGGCACAGTTAGATATAGTTATCAAACATTTAGAAGTTCCAGATTTTGACCCTTTTTGTCTCATTGACAGACTTGCATTTGTAGCAGGTATTTATTCATACTAATTTAAAGATATTCCCCCAAAGACAGGTGTTCAAACACCAGGAGTGGCAAGACAAGTCCATCCTCAGGACTTCATTGGGGAAGGATGTTGTTTCTGTTCACAGATAACTTGTGGAGAGATTTTCAGCTCCATTCTGCCTCCAGTTTACTATTTGCCTTTCCCCTCTATGTCTTCAGGGTTGCTACCATTCACTCACTGGCACAGCTGCCATCTAACAGCTGCCCAACCTAAATCATCTGAAATTGCCCAGGTTAGTTTACACACTTTAATTCACAGAGATCTCTTTTAGCCTGTATTGTTTTAAATGGAGCAAGTTAGAGACCAATTACATGAACAGCTATAAACCACTAAGTAACAGGGCAGTAACGTCAGGGGTGTGTTTGTGCATGTGAGAAGTGGAGAGATGCTCAGAGCAGTAAATTCTTCAAAGACCCAAAATGGTCTATGTGACCAAGGTGTTTGGCTCAGTTTTTGAAACACCTACTAGATGCTGTTACTGCACAGCAAAGTCAGCAGCCCCTAAACTTTTTAGGCTCACCATGCTCTTCTAGTACAAGCATAAGTGCTAGAAGCTTGACCTATCAAATACCAACCAGACACCTATCTCTGATCTGGCTTCTAAACCTGAAAAAGTATCTCTATTATTTTCTGGAGTTAAGTGTCTGTCATCTTGGCTGTTCTTACGGAAAGAGAGACATTCACCTAGCCCCCTTGTAAGTCAGTAGACAGAGATTTGTTCTTCATTTTTCCAAATGAAGGATGTTGAACCGGCATATCCCATACTACCATCAAATGTTCTGCTCACCAGGTTACCTGTAGGTGTGGTTTCCCTCTGATCCAATGCACTGTTAAAGAATCAAGCAGCTCCAGGGACAGATGTTGAGAATGTAACACCCTAGGCCATGCTGGGGAGCTTGTCCTGGTGGTGGTGGTGGGCTTGTGGTCAAGTTCCTGGTCTAAATGAGCAGAGTGAGGATGTGCAAACAACTTCTACCTGCACAATGAATCCCATAGCCACTCCTCTGTTGAGGTGACATTCATCTCTCAGAACTTTAGGCACTAATCAGATGATTCTGAGAGTTACTTACTGACTACTGAGAGAAATAGGTTCCCTATACAGTAAGCGATACTGCAGAATAAGGCACCTCTACAGTATATTTCAAAACTTGGCCTTTCCGTGTTGAGTACAAAGAAGCCTAGTGCAACAACAGTCATCATGAAAAGCCTCAGTTAAATACGTAGTGTTAAGGCGGAATCCAGGTCCTGGTGCCTGAAAATAGATAGTCCAGAAGCTATCATCCTTGACTTCCAGGCTGAACTTGACCCAACAGGCATGTTTTAAGTATGTCTGCAGGCTCTGCTGTATGTATTTCATAGCTGAAGGTGTGCTGTTTTGATAGTTCCATCAGGGCTTCAGCGCTGAACTGTTCTAGAGACTGAGGAGCCATGCAGACAGCCAGCATTATGGGGTTATTAGACCCTGACTCCTTGTTATTGCACAGAAATGACGCAATGTGGAATTTAAGGATCAGTAATGGGTGGAGCAATAAGACCTGTTATATTTTAACCTTTTACCATCAGCAGTAAATCTCCTTGTATTTTACAAAATCTGGACAGGAGACAGTGCACAAAGGATGTTGAAAGAGGTTTTTACAGTAGCTAATAGATAACATTTGCTATAAAGAGAGCTCAACAAAGGCCCTGAGATGAAAAGAATCCCACCTATCAGTCCACACAATTCATGTTAAAATTACAGCCACTCCAATAAAAACTTTAGTAGGAGACAACATCACATTATTATATATGAAGATGTGACTGATTCTCTGTTTTAAAGGAAGCCAGTTGTGGCTTCAGATCATGCTGAGTGCTGCATTGCCTAATGACTTGCGAGGTCAGGTTTTCAAGGTTTCTAGTGTTTTCTATCCTATTAGGATAAATAGGGATCAGCAGGTTTCTCTGAATACATTGGAGGCATTACAGTTATTGTGACTAAAACCATTGATGATTAACAGTTAATATACAGAATCGTTGGAGATGTCATGTGGAAGTAAAGGAAAAAACCCTGAAGAAATAATAAAACTTCTCTGATCTATAAGGCAATTTGACTGCCATCTGGGGAGGCTGTACAGTGATCAGGCAGAGCAGAAATATTACTTTAAGCTCCTTAATTCCAGAGAATCATAACGGAAATATGGAAGTTGATAATGACAAGTGCAAAAGAAAAGATAAAAGTCATTCTCAGAACACAGCAAGTGAAAAACTCTGCCAAATACAGATCTGGTCTTCAAACCCTGGCAACAACCCACAGAATTTACTGACTTTAAAGGGCTCCTGACAACTTTAATTTCACCTGCTTGATTTGTAGTGAGCTCTGCATAACTGCCCTGACTTAATCAAAAGATGTCTGAGACATTTTGATTCCTCACTCAAGGATTTTAGTACTGGAGTCTTGCCTTCATCCAGAATCTGCCTAACATCCTGAGAGCACCGAGGCAGGAGGCACTGGTAGACACTGAGACAGGCACTGGCTGTTTTAACCACATTATCCATCACTGCTCAAGACAGATTAAAAAAAAATCACAATATTGGAAACACCATTTGCCATGTGAATTTTGTCCCCATAATGAGGTATATGAGGGAAACGCCTACCACAGTAACTATGGGCAAACACAGCTCATCTCACTACGTTAGATGAGATCATGCAGAGAAGATCCCTCCCTTTGTCTCATGCAAGCAAGCAGTGGGAAAAAAAATTGTCAAAATTTGAGAAAAGACCCCGCTATCTGAGATTCAGTAGAAAGGGACTGAATTCTGCTCCTCATTAGAGTAGTTCAGTTCTAGAAGAAATCAAGGAAATGCTGAGTAGGTGCTGTGTTTCACAAAGACCTCAGTTCAAATTTCATTTAAACATACGCTTTATCTTCAGTTCAGGGCTACTTAACATGGTGTACCTTGACACAGCTGTTGAAAGTGTTTGAGGGATTGCAAGAAGGGCTGCAGAGGAGCTGGCCAAGCAGCCAGATGAATGAACCTTGAAAAGGGAGAAATTCATTGCAATAGAAAGTGGTGCTGCAGGAGCCCCTGTCGTGACCCTACGAGCCCATCTTGCCCATTCAAGTGAATGATCAGAGTAGTTTTCTAAGACACTTGGCTCTAGATACTGGCCTAGGCTGACACATTTAACATGACTTTTAGTACCACCAAACCACAGGTGAGTAAAACTAAAATGCATAACGTTTTACTGTGTAGTCAGGGCTTTTCCATTCAATGGATAGTGTGAAGGTACCAGCAAATACTGCACCAATGCATAGGTATGCCTACATTATACACTGATTGTTCTGGTGTTTTGAAGATTTACACAGGTAAAGATGCCAGTGGAGTTTGAAAGATAGAATTTGGCTTGGCAAAGCCAAGCTCTGTCAAGAGCTAGTGCACACTAAATACTTACCACAATACATGTGTTTTAATTCATCAGAGAAAATCACTGCCCTAGAGAAGAGGCTTGCTCTAACCCTGCTGCACTCAGTAGATCTTTTGCTGTTGGAATCAACAAAAACATTAAGATAATAACCTTGACATTTTGAAGATTCAGCCTGAATTTGCAACAATCATATTTCAGATTTTCAAAAGTTGTTTCTACAATGAAACAGAAATTTCTCAGGTCATTTGAAAGAAAGGCTGATGTGGAATAGAGCAGGTACAGATAGTCATAACAGTGAGGTAAAACAAGCCAGCTGCAAGGCTAGCAGGCAAACAAAAAGGTAAAACTGTATTTTTCATGTGAGCCTACAGAGGTTTGTTTAGCAGTTTGACTCTATGCCAAATAGCTCACTGCACCTCTAAAAAATTGCTTTACTCTAAAAAAGTAATCTGAAAGATCCCTGGACTGCAGTCAACTTAATATCACACATATCTGCATCTTCAAAGCATTCTCTTTGGCTCAGCATAGCAACATAAGCATAATTATTAGTGGTTATTTCAACCTTGAGGTAATTGGATGCCCCGCTACCCCACCCACTAAGCAAATAAATTGACTTTGATGTCCCTTTAATATGTCACAGAAGAGAAAAATAAAGGCCTTATATTTAGCGGTGTGAAAGAGATTATTCTAAAGATTAACATTTTCAAACGAATACCAGGTATTTGCAGTCCATTCTTTCAGTGCCTTGCTATATTTGAAATATAACATCTCTGATGACAGAGCCGACCTGTAAAGGCATTTCCGTACAAATAATGATATCTTTTTTATTGTAGCCAGTTATTCCAAAGATACCTACTGAGATGGACTTGATCATGGTGGCCATCTATGCTACAGTGATTAAACTCAAACAACATCTATGGAGTTATAGAAACAAGGAGTTACAATTCATTGGACACTGGTACATCATACTGCAGCTCCAGCTAAAGTTTAAAGGGAAGCAATACTAGTTGAGATTACTGCTCTGTATGTCAGAGTATTTATTTTTTTGCAGCACAGTTCCATTATCTCTAGCTGTAGCTTAGAGTATACCCTCATTCCACCCTAAACTCCATGTTCTGCTAGGCAGATGGTGAGCAGGAAAAAAACACTTTCCAGTGTACTTGTTCCTACCACCAATTCCAGGGCCATTCATGTCTGTGGAACTCACCTTGACAATTAGGTCCTTTGCTATTTAAATGGTAAGTAATGGAACTAAGGTGAATATATGAGGGAAAAATTCCTACATTATGAATCATTCTTAATACAGTAGGAAAACTTTAATGATTATTCAGGCAAAATATTACAGCAGATGCGATAATTCTAGAGTAAACCATTGATAGCAACACATGTGTTTTCACTGAAAATCAAACATGGCAATTCTTTTATTGTCTTAATCCATAAATTTTAATGTGTATGAGTAAGCGATGTTTCCATGTCAATCTTCTTTCACATACCTAGAGATGCTAGATACATTTTAAAGTTAAATAATGAAAAATGTACCTTGGTACCTTTTTCAGTCTGCATTCCCTTTGTTTATTCCTAAGATTACATGGATCATATGTAGTGTTGGAAAAAAATTATCAAAGGACTCAAATAAAGATCAATTTGCGAATTGTACCAATGACTTTGTACAGACATACATATGTACAGAGACATGTAAAAAATAGAAAACGCAGACGAAAATTTCAATTGATACATTTGAAAAAATATTTAGATTTTGAAAACATTAAGACATCTGGGTGCACAGCACATGTAAACCATTTTGTGGTGAAACAAGAAGTGATGAATTGCACATTCACTGATATCAGCTAGAGTATAACAGTCAGCTCTTTCCTTTTCATCATTATAGCTGATGCTTGAGCAATAGGCTTTGATTAAAAAAAAAGAAAAAACAAACATAAAAACCCAGTTCATGCCTTAAAAACATTTGTGTACAGAACGATAACATTAACAGCATGTGGATTTAAATGAGCTACAAAAAATATCTTAACAGAAGCAGAACTGTAACACACCTATCATGGATCATCTTAATACCAAAGACAGCTGGCTGCATTTTGATTCTACTAATACTAATGACATGATATTATATCCTTAAGCTTTAAGGTTGTGCAGCCCTGGAGTTCCAGACCCAAGAGTATATATTATATCATTTGCATACAACTATATTCCTTAGATAATCATATTGCTTAAAACCAAACTCTGACATTTTCAGTATTTATGCACAGCTCCTGACCCGCCTTTCATGTAAAGCTCCATGCTGGGGAAAACCTTGCATAGAAATACAGGGACATTTACTGTGAGCACAGAAGCAGCATATTATACAGAAATAGAGATAATCACACTGTCTCACTAAATGTAACATCATTGTCTAAATTAGGAGCTTTGTCAATATAGTGGAAGGTCCTCTAAATTAGATATGCCAGATCCTCTTTTTGAGGATTGTCTTATCATATAGGGAAGCCAAACTCCATATTGCATGACAATTTCCCATCATATATCTACACATCTTATCGGAAGGAGCAAGAATTCACAAAACTTTAGCTGGGTATACAGACTGTGTTGAGTTTAAGGATCTCTGGCAAATCCTAAATGTGGTGTCATAAATTTCTAGCTCTACTTTTATATAGGACAGCCTCTCTGTGTGCTTATTTGTTTATACCCTGATATTGCTTGTGACTTCCCTTCCCAAAGGTAGTAGAAACTAGTGGAAGATTATATATAACATTGTGAAGAGGGAAGTACGCCATGGAGCTCAGCAGATCCTTTGTTAGACTTGTACTTACCTGGTTCTGACTCCCTTCGCTAGTGCATGGTGGAAAAGAGTGGTGTCTTGATTGCCTGCTCCATGACTGGATTCAGAAAAATCCATAACTGGATAATTTGTAGGGAGAACAGTTTTATGGGGTGCCATTAATCCCCTCACCCAGCTGCTAAGCCTGGACCATGCTTGGTGTCCCATCAGGGCACCACAACTGTCAATGAGTGTGCTGCTAATGCTGTGGCAGGGGCTCAGAAGGCTGTTCCACCCTGTGGTGGTAAAGCCTCTGCCTGGGGTTTCACCCAGAGCAGCTCTGCAAACATCAGCCATGTAGTCGGGCTACAGCAGGAAGCTAGCGTTCAGAGAAGGTCTGGTACCTGCCAGGCTTTAGATGCGGGCAGGATATTCTCCTCCCACCACGTCACACACTTCTTCTGACAGATTAAAAAGCAGATCCCAAAGTTCTTATGTGTTCTAGGAAATGGGATTTTTCCTTCTGCTTGTGGTACTGGCTTCACACATTGGCAAATATTTTATTCAAAAACATAAAAGAAATGGCACTTCCATGCAGGGAGAATACTTGCTTGGCTTACAGGGCAAGGTAGACACTGAAGCACATATGTAAGCAGTCTTCCTGCATATGGCCACGCTCCTAAACTGGGACCATAAATAAGGTTATGTTAACATATTTACTATATTTACATGCTACATTGAGAGAGTTACAATTAGTCTAAAGTCTAAGTAATCTATCTCTATATTAGCTCTAGAACATGCAAAAAAATAGAGTAGACATCTGTTCCATCTAAGATAGAAAGAAGGGATGTGTTTTTACTAAAAACACTAAAGTTCAAAACTTGGCATCATCAGTAAAATGCTAATAGACTTTTTCAAATTGTATAAACCAAATGTTTAAATAGAAAAGGTTTAATATTGAAGGGGAACTCATCCACATAAAATAACTCTTTCAAATGGAATGTAGCCAGTTTCTAAATACATTCAAATAATACAGTGTCTCTATAAATAGAAAACTAGATAGTGCTGAAGAGCTAAAGCAGTCCTTTCCAAACCATTCAAGTGTATATATTTCTCTCTCTTTACTATCATTAATACACAGTTGCTTGAGCTACAGCTGTTCTAGCCTTTGGCAACAGTTCAAGTAACTTCCCCTCTTCTGTCCTTTACAGTTCTCCGTCTTCCATTTTGCCACTGCAGAGTTGCCAGGGCATATCTTGATTTCATCAAGTTTTAGGAAAAATGTCACATGTCCCAAACTCTGTTGGTGTGTGTGCAGCCAATCAAGGAAGCATGTCATGAATACACCATGGTCCTTCAATTGTCACTCAGGTAGTGGCACATCTGTAGTCCCAGCGCTATATCCAAGAGAGGCTATGTGCTGACAAGCTCCCTCTTACTTGCACAGAGCCTGCTGAGAAGGATTTCAGAATAAACTTGATTTATTGGACCTCGGACATGATACGGAGACTGAGAATTTGTTGCATAGTCCTGCAGTTGTGATGGCTTTCTTTGACTGCCAAAATACTTCCCCAGTGTATAGTGCCTTGATAACGTCATTGTTATGTGTGGATTTTCTTCAGAGGGATTGGATTTCACCACCTGCAAAATAAGTGACATATGTGAGTGCTTTCTGCCTGCACCTAGAAGAATACACAGCTGTGTGTACAGAAATGCTGAGACAGTTCTCCACAAAGCAGGTCCTGATACTCTTGCCTTCAGCTGCAAGTTGCTCACAAGCAGTATTTTAGTGGGCCAATTTGTTATGCTCATCCTAATTAAAGTGCAAGATCTTATTCACTTAAGCCTTGAAATCTAAATGTATAGGCCCATTATATTCAGTTGGTTGATTCTGTAATGCCTTTGTATATTAGACTCTGTTCTCTTCATCAGGAACAATTTATCTGAACAACAAAATTCATTAACAGCTTGTCAGTATATTTACCATGGGAAAAGCTAAACTCAGGACAGCCCTGACTTGCAGGAAGGTTAAATCCTGCTCTGATCCCAAGCACTTGAGGAACATATGCTGTGTCTCAGCTGTGAGCCCTGTGAGAATGTCTCACTCTCAGGTCTTGATGCAAACCTGGCCCAGCTCCATGTTGAGATGAAAACACTCATGTGTCATGTTTCTCCAAGAAGGGAGTTACGGTGTAATTTAACATCTCTTTCCCCAGGGCACGACACTAACATAACCACAAAATGGTTCAGTAACTTAGTGCAGGAGAATGCTCCACCTTGGCCCCCCAAATATGTATAGAGCTCTGGGGTTATTTTGCTCAATTTGTCTGAAATAAGCAAATACCCATGGGACTAATGAGAGAGGAGTGATTGTCAGGAACCAAATAAATTGGGAGGCGGGGCAGCGGTCTCCTGTGAGATGCTGAAGGTCTTGTCTTAGTGAACACACAGTCACTGATGAATAATGAAGCAACTTCAAGAGGGATGAAACTTCAGAACCTTGCACAGGTGCAGGACGGAGGACCCTGACCTAGGATTTGGCAAATCCAGAGAAAGAAAATGGGCCAAGTGGTTAGCTTATTTTTAAAGGAGTAAATATATGATGACTCGATAGCCCCAATGCACATCAATTTTCCTGCTTTATCAATCGCAGCAGACACTTGAAAAAGTAGACTTCATTTATTAATGCATATATTTATGCAGAAGCATAAATAAATAGCTTTTTAAAAATGTAATGTATTTTTGCTGTCACTAAACAATCAGAAACGATGTTCAGATGTAGTGAAGCTCGTAATAAATTAAACAACTCATACTAAATTAAACGTGAGTGAAGCAATAACATGTGCAAAGGCTTGAAAGACTGGGCAGAGAGGCTATGAGGGAGCTGGCTGAACTAAAAAAAGACCAGGAATTATCCATGTAGAAAATTAATATATCCTCTGATCAATTTGATACAGCTAAGACAAGGGCTGCTATTTGTTTTCATGCAATTACTACAGGTTCATTTTTCTAAATTAGTACCTTAGATCTTACGACTATTTCAAAACGACGCCACCTTGAACCAGTCACCCAAACCACAATCCTGTTAGGTATAATCTCCCAGGAATGCAATCTAATGTTCATCCAGCAGTCAGCCACTGATTAAGATCCCAAACTCCCTAGGTTTCTACTTTTTATGTTGTGATCATGATTTCATTTCCACTAAATTAGGAAATAAATCTGAATAAAAAAAATAGGTTCCCTAAAGGTCTTTATAACTTCTGGTCAATCTACTTCTCCCCAAACAGTTGTGACCAATAAGATAATTAAAAAATCAGGTTTACATGTGCGAATAGAACTAGAAGTATGTTTGGGCAGAAAGTCCCAGAGTTATGCAAGATTTTTTGTCCCAGAGTGATATAATCCCTTTGTGAGTCCAGATCCCTTGGCAATCTGAGCAAAGATTGTAGGGTCTACGGAACTGTGGACTTCTGTGCTATCAGTGACCTGAGGCCCTCTGAAGTGGGTTGGTGGGAACTCAAATAATTTATCAGGACAATCAAGGGAAATGGATTTCTCTTTGGCCAGCTAGTGAGAACTAAATGAGAACTGCTGAATGCATTTTAGTTCGTTTCTGACTGCACAGAAGGGCCAGCCCTCTGTTCCCGTATGGCTGTCCTTTAGCTCAGATGGCATTTACAGAGGAGTGCTGTCTTCTGTGAGTTTAGGAGGTCATTTTTTAAGAGAAAGAAAGTGAAAGTACAAAGCAGTGGATTTAATCCATCTCATCTGGTTTCATAAAACATGAAAAGTGCTGGGGTTTTATACAGTGTTCTTGGCTCCAACCTTGGAGGCAAAATGCCATTTTCCTAGCACAAACTGCTTCAGCACCTGATGAAAATCCACTTGCCAGGACGCAGAAATAAGCTGATGACAAAACTGTTAAAACTAATGAGGTATCAAAAGCATTCAAGGACTTTCTTTTTGCTTTCCTCAAGGATCAAGTCTGGTTTTTGGTGGCTGTTGGATTCTCCTGGGCACATCTATGCTTCTTTCAGGCACAGCAACCTCTCAAGACTCATAAACAACAGCTCTGCAAACCAAAATCTCCCCTGATCCTCCCCAGAAACACATACTCTCTGTTGAGATTCCTCTGGCAAAGAGGCAAGGCCAAATCTGCACATGAGCTCATACAAAATGATGGAGGAGTGCATGAAGAATGCTGATGACCAACCACGCCCTGCTGCCTTCCACCCAGTTCCATTAAATAATTCACTTTGAAGCTCTTCATTTCACCCAAAAGCTCTGTGGAAATGGCAAGCATCAGCAATGACCCACAAAGACACCAGCATCTGTGTTCTAGACAAAAAAGGGTCAATATAGCTGTCTGGGTGAAATGGAGGGAGCCCTTTAGTCCATGGGACTATTTATCCATCACATAAATATCTGCTCTGTGACTTACTCCCTCTTTTCCAGCTCCATCTGGACTGAGCTGTGTTTGTGCCTCTCTCATGTGCTGAACAGAGTAGATTAAAGGATTGGTTAACTAACCACGCCTTCTGTGTTTGGTCCCAAAGAAGGACAGAGGCCACAGTAATGGGCTGGAAACATGTAAACTGTTGAGAAGCCTGAGGTAGAAACTAGCTGGGAGGTTGACAGTCAGCATGTGAGGTCAGAGAGGTCTGATAATGCTTCCAAACCTGTGCTCAGTCCCAGTGAGCCTTATACTGGAGCAGAGTCACAACCAGTAGCAGTTGATTGTCTCCTCACTCTCTTTTGGGAATGCACTTGTTGTCTGGTAGACTGTCTCTGATATTATATCTCTGTCTGTGATATTTAAGGAGAAAAATCAAAGCCCTGTAGTTATTAATATTTTTATTCTGCTTTATGTAGAGGAGACTGCTGTGGCTGAGAGAATTAAATATAATCCACTGGTTATAAGAAAATAGTTAGGCTTGCTATGCTAGTCCTTGGACAGCAGACACCACAAGGACACTCCAGAGCCTGTGCTTGAATTTTACTATCATCACCACTGAATTTCAGTTTGTTTAGTTTAAACTACTCCTAAGATTAATTAGCCATGGTATATTTTGTTTTCCAGTGTATACCGTGTGTGTCTGATGAAGGAAACCTTATTTTTAGATATTTGCTTTTTTTAGATCTTTAAGGAAAATATATCATAGGTGTCCTGACATTTCTTCATAGCAAAAACTAGTGCTTCCACCTCGTTCCTGGTGTCACAGCCCACCTTTATACCTGTGAAGCTCTACAGAGCTTCTGTGCTAACCCTACATACATCCAGGTCCTGGGAACAAGATCGGACAAGAGCGAGGCTTACAGAAAAATAAGCATGACTTGGCAAAATAAGCAAACATGGTTTATCCTTCTCTTGAGAGATTCAGAAAAAATTTGGTGGTCTCTCTTATTTGAAGTAATTTGTTTTGACAGAAGACAAATTCTTCAATTCATGTTGGAAAAATGTTAGGATTTCACTTGTGTAGGTGATTGTCCTTTTTAATATTTATGCACTTTCGATAACTCTAATAAAAAAAGGTCTAGGATTTTCTCAGTAAGAATTAACTTGTGGAGTTCTGTCTTCTAAATGACACATCAAATTACTCATGTCATTATTCTAGTCAGTAACCAAACGCCTGAGATTTCTTCCAACTAGTAGATTCTTAGTGGCTCAAAGCCCCCAGCTGACTGTGAAACACCATAAATTCATTAACTCTTGGTTTCAAAGGGACATCTTTCATGGCATTATTTTTTTCCTCCAGTTTTAACTTTTCAGTAACAATTTATTCTCATTCTGTATTTCATTCTGTGAAAGAACTTGTACCTGTCATCTATCTTTTGATCACTTAGAGGAAATGCAATCTTCCTGAAAGATATAACAGTTCAAGTTTTATGGTCCTAAATAGATTTCAGTGGAATTAATTGTGGTAGTTTCCTAGTATTTTGTTAAACAGACAACCCAGATTCCATTTGTAAGAATGAAAAACCTTGTAGCATCACAGGCAATTTCTTACTGTGCTATACATAACCTTATCTATAGAGGTACCAGAGGTTTCTCTCTCCTTATATCCAGCAACAAATTGAGGCATAGGTTTACTGATGATGTCTGAGTGCACTATTCCAGTTTTCACTGAAGAAATATTTTTTACTGGGAATCAGGAGCTAAACACCTGGAAATGTATGTGCCTCCTTTATTCCTCAAAGCTTTTTCTGGTTCCCAAAGGGAATAATATAATATTTATGGGTCTTATTTAGGGCAATGAATGAGGTGTTTGGACTCTCAACAGTCTCACCACTCATAACAGAAACCTGGGAATTGGCCTTTTATACCAACAAGTTGGTGTCATGGGTATGAGGAAGGACTTGTTTGGAAGCTACAGGAATAGTCTGGTGGCCTTGGTGACAGTTCTTTAACTATCATATGGAAAATTATTGTCATCAGCCTTATGGCAGAGGGTATCTGCTCATTTGACTACTCAAAAATTATATTTTCTGTTTTCATTCAGGCTTGTCTGAATTAAACCAGGGGTGCACTTCTTCATTTGCTGTACAAAAGGTACAAGAAATCCAAAACTAAAACGGATCCCTCCTTTGCTGTTGGGGAAGAGCACTCACTATAAAAAGTCATGCCACATACTCAAAATACATCTTAAAGGAAACCAGAAAAACTTTAAATATCTTGTTTTTCAAACTTTACTTTCACTGGTTTGGCAGCCTCTGGGCTGAGTTTGTGCCTAGATATAATAATGTGTTTGCTTATTCATTTTTTATTTAATCCATGGACTCCTGTTGTTTGTAATACATTTTGAAGATTCCTTGCCAAGATTTGAATGAACAGAAGAGTATGTTCTCTATTGCCCTACTCATATATTTTACCATGTCCCTGTTTCACCAGACCAGGAGTTATAAAACAGAAGACAGAATTTCTATAGATTTCAGTCAGTCAAAAAAAAAAAAAGCAGAACTATGGGTGTGAGTGAGAACAAGTGACTTAATACTTCTGTTTGTATAGTCAGTCACTAAACTGTGCCAGATAACTCTTTCTCAGACATATGAAAACAGATATATAGAAGTAAGAACGGTCTTTCAAATTTAAGCTCCTTTTTAAATGTACCTATGGTTTGATGGGAGTCTGCTGAGCTGCTCGGTTAGGAGGGCTTCAGACAAAAACCTGTGAGACCGAGGTATGGCACAAAGTTAAACTGAGTCCATGCAGAAGCAGTAGGGATATATAACGCATCACAAATAAAATAAGAACATGGAAACCATGCAACATCCTTTTATATGGGTTACCTTTGCAGAAAAGCATGCTTGTTTTTATTTCAGGTAATCGCCATGGCAGCAGTTCAGCCCATCCCTGGGCGGCACGGAGCTCTGAGTGGTTTTTATTCAGGCCTAACCTTGAGTCATGGATGTGAACCTCGTTGCATACCTTTTTGTTTCTAATCACCTGACAGTTAAAATCTCTCTTAAATACCTGAGAATATAAGCATAAACAATTACCTCATGGAAATGGCAGCCGCACTTCCCTTGCAGGAATTCTTTGTAACGTCCCATGGTGATGACAAAGGTGTCAACAACTTCATAGCCGAAATTTTTTGCTGTATCCAGAATAATCAAGTTTTCATTCCACAAGTTTTGCACTTCTGCCTGCATTCCAGATAAAATATTGCAATGTCTTGTCAGAAGGACTGTTTAAAAGTTATTGTATTTTGCCATGGAAATTAATAGCAAAACTGCATTTTCAATAAAGAAATTATACTCCAGACATGAATTACTGTAAGTTCACTCCTGAAAATAACTATTACTTCAGGACTGTTGTAGATTTTTGCAGAAATTATTACTTTTCAGTAGTTGTGCAGCTTCCTTCATTGGAAGACCTCAATGTTGTTTAAAATATAATTACTGGGTAACTGTTTTTAATATATATTTAGCTAATATGAGGTGTAATTCAGAAAAAAATCCTATTATAAAGTTGCCTGTAACAAATGGTGAAATTGGTCCTGTAAAGAATAATTCAGCTTCACATCAAAGTCATTGAGGCTTTTGCTTAAAAAAAAAAAGAGTATAGGATCATGGGTATTTTAGAAATGCTTATACTGAAGAACAGATTATTATTTCTCAACATACTGCAGTAAGGCCAGGAATAGAAAAAAAAAGGTTAGCCATAAATTTGGCAAGGCAGTGGATTTGACACTGCAGACAGAAGGGCTTTGAGAGTAGCTGGGCTAATCCAGAAGTCCAGAGCACCCAAACCACATGAGTAATTTAGCATATGATTCCAATATAGAATGGGAAAAGAACGTTGGTTACACACTGTAGTTGATTTCTGGAGTTTTATAAATTTACTGGATGAGAAACAGAAAAGGGTTGTCCTGTGAAGCCTTTCTTTCTATCCTTGCCTCACTGACCTTTGACCAAAGTTCTGTTTCTTTCTCCTAGGACCGAATTCTGCTGAAAGCTATGGCAGGAGCTATGACAACATTTTTTTCAAGTCGATGCCAACAATTTCGCTACCATATCCTAATGTGGTCATCCAAATAAATTAAGGAAATGGTTGAAATTAGTAAAAAGACATTGAGCAGAGACAAGGCAGATAGTACTAACTTAAACAGTAAGAACAGGCAAAATCTGACAGGGCAGTCTCCGCAGCAAAATGAAGGGTGAGAGTAGAAGTAAGTTACAAACTGAATACAGCAGTCTGTTATGTTTTCAAGGAGATGTGGGCACCAGTCCCCAGTGTGATAGGAGTGCTGTACATAAACTATGAAAGCTAATAATTTTTACTTTTCAACACCTGTAAACAGCTGGAGTGTTACACACAGTGCTGGTAGGCATCATTTACTCCGTTCTGCCCTCCAGCACTTCTCAGTACCATCTCATTCACAAATTTTATGCATCCAAAAGAGAACCACTGTCCAAATTGTAAATAAAAATATTGAATTGAATGAGTTACACAGCACATTGAAATGAGCCCATCTTTAACTCTGAGAGTCTTGGATATGATTTAAACTGATTGTAACATTGATTAACGTACAAATAACAGGCTAGATTCACTGGTACATTCCAGCTGCTCTGTAATGTTCTGGCTTCGTAGGTTGGTTAAGATAGATTTATAGAGAGCTGTGCAATGCAGCCAGATCAGTGAATCTGATCTAGAAGTAACCATGGAGGAAGCCTGGGGAGGACCCGTGCCTTACATGGTATGAGGAGCAATCTGCCTATCCCCAGCTCAATTTCTCAACTTTGGCAGCAGGCTTAATATTGGAGATTCTTCTGGTTCTTGGGAAGGCTGACTGAGCACAATGTCTCGCATGATGCTCTGATTGTGGCAGAATCCATGAAATAAGTCAAATTGGTTTGAATCTGTATTAGCAAGCAACATGGGCAAATACAAACGTTAATCTTTCTCTGATCCACTTAAAGCTTGCTCAGCAGAGGTTGCAACATATTTGACCAGACAGCGAAATTGTTGCTGAAATGACAAGTCTTCCATGAAAATGCACTCTAAATGTACTGTAGCTTACCTGTGATAGTGAATGTATTCCATCCACTGGGAGGTGAAAGCCCATACCTATGGACTTGATAATTACCAGAATATTTGATAGATTTTCCCTGTTTGATAAATAAATAAAAAAAAAAGGATACACAACTTACTTAACAGACACATCAAAAGGCACGGTATTTTTATTTTTTCAGTCACTTAAGTGCACACCCATGAGAAAACAAAGGAAATGTTTGCAATTAAAATTTTTTTGTTAAGTTGTTCCTCATAATTTATCATATCAAGACTTGGAATAACACCAAGTACATAATATTACCTGTTCAGCACCTTATGGATAATTTGCAGGTGATTGGAATTAAGCCACTGAACGCCACCTACAATTAATACAGTCTGGTCTGTGTTTTCCAGGGGACGTGATCTGAAACCCAGAAAAGAAAAACAACATATGTTTCCTTAAAACAGATGGCAAACATTTGAACTGCATTGCATTGCATTTCAGTGAACTGTATCTGTCATCTTGATCAGAGACCTGATGTCATTTTCTACTATTTTCCAACCGCACAATACAGTCTGCACACATTATGTTTAATTGTTTACTGACTTTAATTGTAAAATATGTTCAACACATTTGTAAATAGAACGAGAACACAAACAAGCCACAATAGAGTTTGTACGGTACCTCTGCAGCAGTTGTTCTAGTGCTTTTTCAAAAGTCGGTCTCTGGTTTGTTTTCATCCAAAACTGGGGGTAGTAGGAGTAACTGATAAATGTTTTCCCCTCATTGATATTATGATAACATTTAACATCATGAGTCTTTTGCCATTCCTGAAGTGTCTTATTCACTCTTTCTATTAGGTAGTACATCATCCCTCTGTTAGTTGAGTCACCTATAAAAAGAATCTTTGAATGGAAAAAAAGATGTGACTGACTTAGAAGTTGTACACTCCAAAACCCCAAAGCTAAGAAAAGAATACAACTGGTCTGGAGTTTTTGAACCCTTCTCATAATGTTCAAGAAATATCTCTGTGAGCTGCTAGTTCTCCAGTCTTTGCATCTCAACACTAAAGTTCTCCTTTAGCAAAATCTGTGTGGTCGGATTAACAAAAGCTACATTATGTTTTTCAAAGATGAAAAGTACAGGTTATAGATGCCTATAGCTGCACAATTAGCTCTCCATTTTTAATCTTTGTTGATAATTTCTTTTGCTTAAGTTTATATTTACTTCCAATTGCTAGTACAGAGTCTCTCGTGATTGCTTGCAGCTTCCTGCTTTCGTTCCTTCAGTTTTTCATGTGGTTTGTTCCTACACAGCACATCCTGGTTAACGTCTGTCTTCCATAAATGTGATTAATTAGAATTTACACCAAAGTAACACATATACACACATCAATGGATGCAGCTGCTGCCTTATTTGTAGAGAGACGGTCTTTCTGCAGTTTCACAGGGTGAAAAAAAAAGGGGGTTATTTTGGTGGAAGATAATCTGAATGCTCTGAACTTGCAAATGAATGAAGAAGTCAAATTTGGGCTTGCTCCTACTCATTCTCTAGACTCCCCTGACAAAACATCTCTGTATGTGGAGACCAGAACTTAACGTGTGGGTTTTTTAAATGTAATTGCCCTATTTTTAGTGGATAGGTCTAGCATTTCCTCCTGCTGAAGGGAACATGTAGACGACAAGAGTTTAGCAGGGAAGAGAACCCAGATTCACTGTGGCTTGCCAATGAAACTGTGTGTGTAATCAATTATTACCACAGTCACCTCAGCCAGGAATCCACATAGAGGAGCACAAATGTAAAATTGGGAGTCAGAAACCTCATAGAGCCATAACACAATAACAGCCCTGTTCTCTGTGCAGCAGTATGCAACTTCTTCTACCTTCTCTGGCACTCAGGGTAGTTGGCACCCTGTAAGTTGTGTTTCTGTTGTTTGTTTGTTTGTTGTTTTTGTTTTTGTTTTTAATTTGATTTCAGATTTGATGTTTTACCACCTTGAATGTTTGGTTATGCAAAAAAAAAATTCAGACTGTACAAATTTATATGTTTAAGAATACATTTCCAAAGCTTCTCTTAGAGATTTTATGTGGTGAAAGCATCTTGGACTTCTCTCATCTAATATATCTCTATTTCCTTCAGGAATGTCACAGTTTTAGGAACTGATTCAGTTCCCGCTATGAACCTATTGTCATTAAAAGTAAGACACAACAGTGCACCAATGATGGTTCCCACAGAACAGAAGCAATTTCAGATTAACATACCCTGATCTGGTGGCAGGGGCAACAATGGGCATGACAATGACTTGAACTTCCCCTGCTTTGCCCATCATGGGCTGCAGAGAAGCTCTTGATAGATTACGTCTGGTAGCAAACAAATTAAAATGAGCACTGAGCACACAGAGGCTCTTTCACCTCCTGTCCTGGACCTCTCAAAGCTGCTTCATAGAGTAAATTTTTAAACAGCTGCTGTTCATGTTTGTACTGCACAAGCACTTCTCTTACATGCAAGGGGATTTCCAACTTTTTACATCATGTCAGAATAAAGCTCTTTAAACTAAGCATAACATGACTCACATAAATCAAGGATCCTTGGATCTTTGGAAGGACTGGTTGGATATTCTCTTTTTCCCTCTCTGACAGACTCAAACATGCACATAATTATTTACAATTAGGAAGACAGTCCATGCTTACAATATGTCCTAATTCTAAAGTAGGTTAATTTGAGGTTTTAAGCAACAATTCTTTTAACTTGCAAAATCTCTTAATCTCTCCAGTCTGTCTATATCCATGTCTCTTTAATCTCTATTTCGTAAATCCATCATTGTAGTATCTAGATGCATATCTATTTAAAAAGCAGTTCTCAGATATTAAAAGGCAAGGATATTATTAACTTGCAATGTGGGTGAGAACATTTCTGTAAAAATACAACACATTATTAACAGAATAACAAACAGGCTCTACCAGGTTGCACACATAGAGCTGTTGGTAGAACATGCTAGATTGTTTCTCTTCTAATAGCATATGATACCATTTTGTTATCACTGCACGTGGGGATTTCTAATTGCAGCGGAGCATATTCAGATATTAATTATACTCATTTGGGAGATGTGGCATTTTTATCTCACTCTTCATTCTACTGTGACCAAGATTCTGATAGATATTTTCTCCTTCTAACTGTATTTGGTCTAATCTCATCTACCACTGATTTCAAATAGAGAACAACACACTTCATGGAAAAAAAAAGAGAGAAGATCCATGACCAAGGCCAATGAACATGATGTGCAGATGTCTTGTTTTGCCAACATTGTGCATTCTCTAGAAATTTAAGTGTGAAATGTCACTCTAGATATTTCCAAAGTCTCAAACATTGCAGAGAACCAAAGACTGAGATCGACTCATCAGTCTCCCATTTTTTTTTGTTATGTCAAAATTAGAGGAAAACATCCACCCCACCTCCCCAGTTTGCAGTATTAAATACTTTAACATTGTAGGGATTTACAATTTCTACACCTACATATGAACACACACATAAGCAGTGGATCCATGAATGAGTTTTCAAGTCTTTCCTGGGGTGCCTAGCTGGCCACAGCTGCAGGTGGGAGGGGACTTTGTGCAGTTGTTTAGAAAACCAGTACCAGGAGAGACAGTTAGGTATGATCACTTCTTAAAGTGGCAGTTCTCATCCATAAATTCCATGATGCTGGGCACCATATGAAAATATGAGGTAGGCCTTAGAACAGTATTATTGTCCTGATGTTCTGAGAATGTGAAGGGGGTGACTGGGGTCAGAGCTGACTCTTTTAGAGCAGTCAGTATAACTGGATGAAGCAGATAACTGCTAGGGCCTAGACATACTTTTTCAAATATTATTACAAAACTGATGAGATTGCACATAGCCCATCTCTGAAGGAGTAAGTTCTGAGTCTCAAAACATCTCCATTCTCACCTTGAGCTTGTTATGAGGAGGTAAAGCAGAAGGTCAAGAAATTAGATCAGACAGCTAATGCTATTGAGCATCTGAGTGTCCATCTGGGAATGTATACTTATTCCTACGAGAAGGTGTGGCTGAGCAGGATGAGTCAGGAATGACAGAGATGGCAACATCACATTGTTGAGGAATACAGGTTGTTTCACTAGAGAAATTAACCTGAACACTCAGAAACAGGTCTGCTAAGAGAATAGTCAAGACTTGATGTAAGTGGGGAAGAGAGAATGAGCCAAAGTGGAATTGTGGTTATACAGAGAGCCAGATCAGAAGTGTAGGCCACCTTCAAAGATGTCATCCAATTATAGCAACCATATTAGCTTTCAGTCAAGAAGTCTTTGACAGTTCAAATAGGTATAAGTTATATCAGGACTGTATAACTGGAATCAAGCAAATCTGTTTAGCTTTGGCTACGTCTTTTGCAGTGAAATCACAGCATTGTTGAAAGATATGTCATTACAACTAGGACTTCAGCATGTGAAACTTATAGTCCATGCCCTCTAGCCCTAATGGAGAGCTCTGAAGGCTGTTTGCAGTCATCACGGAAGGGTATCAGCAGTCTTGCTCTGTAGACTGTGTGTGTTGGGATTTTGAAGGGAATGCTCTTCCGTAAGTCCAGAGAATATCTCAGACAGAAAGACAGGTGTGTATTCCTTATAATCCAATGCATCCCAGGCTAGTGAGTGCATAGCACATCACCAGCAAATCTGCACACACAGAGCATCCATTCATTAAGACCTTGTCTGTATCCAACAATCTGCTTCTAATTATTAGTTCAACCATGCTGTAAGATGTGTAAATCCTGGAAAAATAAACAAATTCTTCTTTTTCTTCTCCCTAAAAAAATATCAAAGTGGAAGAAGAGGACATTTGTAGATAATCCCACCTGCTTCTCAAAATGCCCTTGTGCAGAGCTGGCCAAGCACATTTTGTTGTGGCATGCAGGCCATCAGAAAGAATCTTTCAAAGTCCAACTTTTGCAAGTCAGCTTCATTTTCAGCAAGTGCTTGGAAGACTCAAAGACTAAAATAAGTGGTGTTTAGATCGAGGAAGAAAACTTATGTCCTTCAATGAAACCAAGAGCTTCAATGAACTAGAATAATCATTCAGTGTAATTGAATATGTGGTAGCTGTGGCCACATTTATTTCTATACAGTTACATGAACTTACTGTAGTTGTATGTCCCATGTGGTATTTAATATGATTTGGACCAAGTGATCTAGAGATGATTCTGTATCTAGCTCTATGACAATAATGAGCAAAATGATGCCTCAGGTGTTTAGAATATACCATATCTCATTTTCCTTATAGTCTGGCACAAGTCTTAGTCATGTACTGTTCAGGTCAAAGGGGCATTTGTCTGCAGGATGACTAAAGGATCAGACATACATAAGGTTATAATTTTACCAGACAAAGAACAACACTTTCACTCAGACAGATGTTTTCAGTGTCTTCTGTTGCAAACGTTTTGTGTGAAAAATTCCATTATAGCTTAAAGGCTTTCAAGGATTGTGTAAGCATAGTGGAATTCACTTCTTAACCAGACCTATCATTATAAATTAACCACACTTAGGAAATTTAAACACCTGTAAGTCCAAAACACTACTTAGCTCTAAAATATTATTAAGAAATTATAAGTTAAAATTCCTGTTTTAACAGCTGAATTTTAAGTACTTCAGCAAATATTGCCTTTTCATATTTCCTGTTCTTAATTACACATGACTCAATGGTACTTTATTATAAGACTAAGCTCAGTAGTTTTTCTCAATGATAAACAAAATACATATTCCCCCTACTATTGAGGCCAGCTTTCTATACACTGCTAATTGAATAAATAATTACCTGTTAGAACCCCTTTTCCTTCACCCATTTTTTAAAGTTCTTGTACAAAAATCAAAGCATCATGTCTTAATAGAACTGTATAAATCTTACAGCAAAAGCTCATTAAGCACAGTTACAGAGGATTTTGTTGAGGCAATATAATGCAGATAAAATATTTTTATCATGATTGCTTATTTCTTTGATTCAATTAGGACATAGATGTGGAGTTCCCCAAGAACAACATAGCCTGCATCTTCTTACCCTTAGCTGGAGTTTAAAATGGAGAAGAAAAAAGACTGCAGATATTAAAAGTAGACTGAATGAAAATCTACTCATCCAGAAAACCTTAGCCTTAACACTTCAAAATTTTCCTGTTTACTGTGTCTGAAACACAAACATATGACTGACTAGTCTTGCTAATACATCATAAAGCAAAATAAGGCCTCATGAACTATTTTTGTGGATGTGTATCCTTTCTCATGTCTCGGCCAATCTGAGTGTTATAGTTTCACTACAGGTGGTCTTACATTTTTATGAAACAGAAATAACTTAGCTCCAACACAGTTCTATATGCACAAAAACTAAAATAACAGTTAATGATGACGTGAAATCAATTGGAATTCATAGCCAGGGAAAATGAATTTCTATTATAGAGAAAGGAGATGATAATATTGGAGATGAGCTCTGAAAAACAAATCAATTTTCATATAAGACACGAAAGCGTCCTGGAGTTAGAAAACAAATTAGAAAGCATTTTTGAAGGCTTATTTATGATGCAGATAGGAAAGCAGTGGTCTGCTTGGGTGACCATAAACATATTTCAGAAACATAGACAAATGCATAAAAGAAATTAATGAGCGAGAGACATATCTGACTGCTGCATTTTACTGTTGTTATATGAAACATGAGAAAAACTGAATGATTGCACCTAAATGTACAATTGACTTCACATTTGCTGCATTTCAGCCAAAAAGATCATTTACTTTACATCTTATTTCATCAGTTGCTGAAGCGCACCCAGATGAGGGACACAGCACAGCAGTGGTTAACTCATTGCATGCATCCTTTCACATTCATTAAAAGTAGAAAGACAAATAGACCTTTTTTTTTGCCTATAAAACTAATAGGGGATCATAAAAAAAACAGTCTGCGGTTATCATAGTTGTAATTTGACAGTGACATAGAAGTTAACACCTCCTATCTAAGAGAAAAGACATAATCACAGGCACATATGTTGTTTATAACGTCTTACCATGATGTTTTAATTGTAAGAAGTGAAGGCAGTGGATCAGAATCCTGAAATCAAATTACATTTTTTCCAGGACAAAAATCAGAGACTTCAGACATTACAAATGTTGCTACTTGCTTTACCTGTCATTCCTGGTGAAATCTTGCATGACTCTGAATTTTTTATGAAGGTATTCAGAAATGAAATTCAGTCGTAGAGGGCTGTTAGTGTTTTGATGGAAGGTATGATGTCATTTGTCCCAGAGATGCTACAGACATACATGTGTCTGCTTTTCTGAGGAAGGATTGGCAGTTATGTGGGGTGTATGGAGGTCTTATTGCCTTAGTTCAGAATAAACTTTGAGTAAGAATTCAGATGAAGGTCATGATACATGAGTCCTTTGTAAGGATTTTGAACTCCAGAGGCCAGTTACACAAGCTGAATATTCAAAGTGTGGTGGCATACTAGAAAACCCCAGAATACAGAAGCACACAGGTTAGTTGAGCCAATTTTGAGAAGTGGACACGTGAGTGAGTTCTGTTGTTCTCAGCTAACTTCAGAAAATTACAATATAAATCAAACAGTATTCTAGATTATCTGTGTCCTCATTTGGGTTGATGATTTTTTCCTTATGTTTTGCACTCATGTTTTTTTCGCAGTCTGCTTACATTTCCAGCGTTGGAACCTTCTGCTTATTTTATTATGGAAACTATGATGTCGTTAGTTTGAGAAATCAGTGATCTCTGTAGTACTTAAAGACAAGGTATATAATGGTTTGAAGATAGTATCAGAAATTAGGAAATACAAATATTTATAGATGGTTATGAAAATGTCTTCTGTAATAAAAAAAGTATTTGTTCACAAGAATTATATCTTTCTGGCTACTCAATAGCTCCCTTATAAAAGATCCAGGTTGCTTATACATATATAATAGTATAGAATACAACTGACTGGCAAAAGCCTCTTTCAGTGAGGACCTGAAAAAAAATACTTTTTCTGCTACATTGCTTAGGCTATGTAAAGTAATTCTAAAGTTTTCCTTAACCACAGGCAGAATCAGGACCTTACCACCCAAGCAGAGGACCATTTTTACTCATCTGACTTAGGTATGAAGAAGGTCTCTCTTAGTCCGTAAATCCTACTGACATGAGAGAGTTGGTCCAGGCTCTAAATTTATTTATTTGGTGAAAGAAAAAGAAATGTTATTGCAAAATGCCACACGAAGTTAAAAACAGTACAAAGTGATGACAAAAATAACATCAGAGGGAAAGATATAGGAGAAATATACCAGAAGGGGAACATGCATTAGAATGAGGACTTTAAAAGAATAAACCAGTTAAATGGACATCTGTGTAAAGGTAATAAGAATGATTCAGCAGATTTCTGCAGAGCAGTGAAGGTTATCAGACAATGAGGGAAGACTTTTGCAAAAGATGCAGAATGAGAAACAAGTACAATTAGTTTTACAGACATTTTTCTCATGTGGTGTTAATGTAGATCACACAGGATCTGGCTCTCATCTGACACTAGAATCAGTGACCTCAGAGAGTCAGAACATAGTGAAATTTGAAGTAAGAAATGAAGCTCACAAACATTCATTTCATATACTTGGTTTTAATGGACCCTTAACAAATGCTGTCCTGTTTTTGACATTGAACATGAGTGGTCAGATTCAGGAGATGGGAATGTCAGAATAATCCTCCCAGCAATACTCTGGCAATCCACATCCATAGTGGCATATTGTTCCTCTGCTATCCTTCAATTGTCTGACCAAAGGATGTTTGCTTATTGAAGCAGTCTGATGTCTATGGAAATTAAAGACCAAAACAAAGCTATCAAATTCTTCTATATTTTTTGCTGTGGTCAATACAGAAGTTCTTGTTTTGTACATGAGGAGCAAATCAAGCTTCTCCTCTGTCCTATAAACCTATGTTTTTTTTAGAAAAATATGTTAGGAGAAACCCACAGCTCTATAGTAATGGAGAAACCACAGGCAGAAATAAAGCCAAATTGCAATGAAGGACTTTGTGCAGGACAAGAAATGATCAGAAAAGAAAGAGGAAATGTTAACAGAAAGACTATTATTTTTGTATTTGTCTAAATAGAAATGCTCTCAGATTTTATTAAAGTGCCACTTTCAGTTGCTATTTTCTTACCTAGACAATACACTATAAAAATCTTTATAACAATTAATTACTTACTTTCTGGATACTTGTATCCTCAGTAAGGTACCTGAGCCTCAGATCAGAGCTCTCTTTCAACAGTTTTACAGTCATAGCATGCTTATTAAGGAGACCTTGTATTTCCAAGCAATCACCTTAGAAGCTTCACTACAAGAAAAGAATGTGCGAGAAGACTTGGTAAGATTAGTGTGCACAAGCAATGCCATGCATTAGGTATGCAGCAGAAGAAACCCAACTTGCATGTCAAGTGTGGGACAAACTGTGACAATAGTGCAAATCCATCCTCCATTTACAGTCCTTATATACTCACTGCAGGTCTAACTGGTAACTACGTACACTGTAGGTCTTGAAACTCCACTGGTGTGACCTAAATTCCTATGTGAAATGGCAGCAGATAACTGTGTCTGCATATGAGACTAAATTATGGATAATGGTTGGTTTTCATCCCTGTGGCTCCATCTGAATCTTTTTCCAGTTATAATAAAAAGAGATTTTTCTTATACATCAATCATAAAATTGTTTGTAAAGCTTCAGGACACTAAATATCCAGGTAAGTAAGAATGAATTAAGGTGTAAAATCTGTTACATACCCTTCTTCCCTCCACACAGCGCTGGAGCTCAGGCTTGGCTAGCACAGAGTATTGGCAGCCATGGGGCTGCCACGTTATTTCTCTCCAGTCGCAGGTCCTGTTGTCCGAGCAACTGAGGCAAGGGACAATCCACTGCCCTGGAAAACAGCAACAGGTTGTCAGCACCTCTTCTGTATTTTTATGAATAGCTTTATTATACAGCAAGCAAAATATTTTTGAGAATTTTGTCATAGGAGTTTTCCCTAAATTAAATGCCCCCCCAAACCTTTGAAGAGACTATTTCCTTCCTCTGTGTTATGCCCTTTTCATTTAGTTAGGGTGGGAGTTTTTCCTTTCCCTGAAAGAGCTGTGAAGGCTCAAATTTGACAGTTGTTTGTGGGTTCATTTCTCAGTTCACGTTGCCTTTCTTATAGCAGTTTTTCTTTCTCCACAGAAGGGATACAAAAAAGGGAAAGAGGGTGAGGAGGCTGTATGCAAAAAGAAAATATTCACATTCAGAATTGTCTAAAGACAATTCATTCTCATCTGAAAAGAAGCATTTAAAAGTTGGGTGTCTGGTTGAAGCTAGACTTTGAGAGCCCCTTGATAGAAAAACAAAGCAAGGGAGAGGATGACTTTCCTTAGAAAATACTAATTTCTTTAATTTATGAAAATTCAGAAGACTGTCCCAGACCACACATATACATTTCAGTAGGTGAAAGTAAGATGAGATGAATAACCTATGTGATTTATTAGAGCCTGATCCCTACTTTCAAAAATGATTTTGCAGATTAGGAGCATAAAGTGGGATTACCAAAAATCAGTGGGTTTTAGGGCATCCCTTACCTAAGGTTGAATGGGTTTGTTATTTTGGTTTTCTGAAGCTATTAATTTCCCAAATCCTACTAGAAATCTGAGGGATTAACTTCTGAAGGAAGACAGAAAACTTTTGAGTTGCCTTTATACTCAGATCAACACAAGAAACACTTTTTCTAGACTATACAAGTGCACTGTCCTGATAACATCTCCCAGTGTCTACGTAGCCCTGCCAGCAAAACCTGCTTTTGCTCTGGTTAAAGGCATTACACAAGGAACAGCACAGAGGCCCCCAGGTCCTTATGTTAGTGCTGTCAGGCCTTGCTAGCACATCCAGGTTTCTCACCACAGCCCAGCAAATGGCTCCAAAAGCAAATGTTTGCAGAGACCTGGCCTTAGAGTTTGTGACCGTCACCACTACCGGACAGCAGCTCAGCAGCCAGCTGGGTGTGCTTCGCTCGGTGTGATAGATTGCTGCTGCACAGGAAGCCGCAGCAAAAAGCCAAGGCTGCTGCTTATCGACATTTAGCAGGACAGGGACTGATTGGGAGACTGAGTGAAGCAAAGCTGCTGGATTCCAGCGGCCCTGGGAGAGTCAGCTGCTATCTCAGGAGCAAGGGAAATTCCAGGGAGTCAGCCAGCGCTTGCTCTGAGAAAAAGTCTCAAGCGAATATGTTTTGGTAAGTAGCAGAGTGGGTTGTATTAGCAGATAAAGAAGTCCTTCTAAACAAAAGCATCAAGAATTGTTCATATGTGAGCCTGCACTGGTACATCTAAGGGAAGAATACATCCCGCAGTGCTATGACCGTGCAGCTCCAGCTGCTGTGCAGCCTGCACAGCTGCCTCTACTTCTGCCCAGTGCAGAAGATGCTCGCCCCGCCCTCAGCTACACTTGTAGATGACGTGGAGCAAATCACGGCAGACTGAACTGAAACAAAAGCCTTGTCACTGACTTTACTGGGCTGCTGGTCAGTGAGCATAACCCAGTTGCCCTGGCTCCCATGGATGCCAGTGCCTCCCGAAGGCTGCGCTGGGCCCGGCCCAGCTCAGCCCAGTTCAAAATGAAGGAAGGAGGGGAAGAAGGGACACTTAGGACCACGGTGGTGGGGTGCAAGCAGGGAGACAGTGCTGCCCAGCACACCATGCTCAGAGGAGTTTCAAACTTGCATTGTCTGTGTGCTAATCACCTAGCTGTTTATCCTTAAGGACAACATTCCCTACTCATCTCATCACCTGAGGACCACTTTAAAGTTCAAAATTCATTAGGACAGGAAAATAGTATGGTTGTAAACTGGTAATATTTTGGGGACACAAGAGACATGAACTTTGGTTCCTGGGCAAGATCCTATGTAGGATCTTATTATTGAGTTAAAATGAGTCTTCATCTAAAGGTACAAAGTGGATAACCAGGTTCTGGAGCAGGGAGCGCTTTTCTAGTTGAATATCCTACTCAGCTGAGAAACCAAAGCCTGAATTCCAAATCTTTGCAGACTTCAGTGCTGGCCATTGTGAATCCCTTCTACACACCGGTCCTTCCTTGGCTTTGAGGTCCCTTGCTCCAGGTTGTGGCCTCCTGGTCACCACTGGGGCCGGGCATGCTTTGACCCTCCAAGTTTTCTATCGTCACTTGTGGATTTTGCCCTTATCTTCCTCTGCGCCCCTTTGCAATTCATGGCTAAAGGATCATTTCCAGCTTCACAGCAGCCACATGAGGAGACTGAAAAGTGCAAGGTCTCGGATAACACAGAAATAGGTGACATGCAAACACCTTTTATCGCTTTGTGCCTTTTATGTAACAGAGGAGGGATAGAATGGTTGGTTGGTTTGAGGTCTGGACTCAGACTACCACTACTGTAGAGTTCTTCATAAATGTTCTGAAAGCTGGTTTGGGCAGTGGTTTATATTTAAAAATTATATGAAAACTGGGCAGTTTTTTCCCTGACATTGTAATTTTTCTTTCAAACCAAATACATAAAAGTTCTGGCAACGTCTACAACATCTGAGATCCCTCATTTTATGGAATTTTCTTCTTAACATCCCATACATTTATGAGCTGATCTGGTTTTAGGTAATAAACCAGAAAAGTAGAACTATATAAAATTAATATTGAGGATCTGAAACATCTGAACAATAAAAGTTTAAACTTTGGCAACTGAAGGTGATAAGTACTTTTTGAAAAGCTTATTTCAAATAGTTTGGTTGCTTTATATTCAATAGCTCTCTAGGTATATTAAGAAAAAATAGATTACTTCTAGGCATATGCTAAAGGTTAGTGGCAAACATAAAAAAATTAGAGAACAAGAGTATATGGAGGTAAACCCATGTTTATAGGAAGCACTGACATTTAGTGCCAACAGAATAATTGCAGGTTTTATATTTACATAGATTTTTAAAATTACGTGTGTAAATTTATGCATTTTTAATCCAATTATTATGAAAGTTTCCTACTGTAATGCCACAATGCATTACAGTCAATGCATTCTTAACCTTCAAAAATATGATTGTGTTTTAAAAGATAAAATGAATCTCATATATAAAAGAAGACAACAGTTAGCAGTCAAAAGTCACAATCGATATTAGTTTGGAAGTCAAACTTATTTGCTATTGCAATTATAAATTGCTTTTTCCCCATTTATATAAGGTATCAGCACACAATGCAGCTTTCAGCACCATTTCAATCAGCCTGCATTTTGTGGTGCTTCATCTAAAAAAGTTAGCATCAGCTCTACCAGACAAGGGAAAGTTTACCTACAATACAATGAAAGACAGCAGGAAAGAGAGAGCAGCTGTTTATTCACAAATTAAAAACTGGCAAAATCAAATTTTGGTAAAACCTCCTGTAAGTAGGAGGTTTACATAGGAAGACTAAAAGTAAACCGGATTTTTGGCTTATTAGAGAAGCTTATCAGTTGCATACATAAATCTGCTTAAAATAGGAGATTAAACATTGCCAATTCGCCTCAAAACTGCTTTCCTAAAATGGCATGAAAAGAAATACACTTTTAAAATACATCATTAGGACTGTTTATCTCATGTTTAAAAAATGCTAGACTAAAGTTAAAAGTTTTAACCAATAAAAGCTGTACACTTAATTTGATAGTTTAGTTTCTTCTTTCAGCCTTTTATTTTTATTTGACCTTTGTCATTGTCATAGGCCTAAATATACATATTTTGCTTTCAAGATCAAAATAAAAATTTTTCTATAGTGCCAAACAATTATCCATATTAAAAGAAGAAAATGTTCTAAACTGGCAACTCAAAATTTAAATATTTAACCTGAGCTGATGCTAAAGATAGCTTGATCGTTTATGACTAGTTTACTTTTATATTTGGTGTCTATTTGTCACCATAAGTCTACAGACTTAGTCTATAAGTCTATAGGCTATAGAAATATTTTTTATTTTTTTTTTTTTTTTTTAGCTGCATTTATGAAAAGCAAAACTAAAATTCTTTTTTTAAAGGACACAATTTTGATGCTACAGAATAAATGGCCTTAGTCCTTCAGACTTATGACTAAACTGAAATTTACTCCTTGTAACCAAAGGAGACACTCATTTGGTTGAACATCAGTTTATGTTTCTGTTGGACTCAAACCCAGATAGATCTTGAATGCAAAGAGAACTCTCATACTGTAATAAACTGAGTATAGTTGTAGAATGTGTGGAAAGCAGGACACAACTAAAACGTGGATGTCACAGCAGTGAGACAGAACATTAGAAGTGAAGCTGTGATCTCTTACCCACCAGATTTTGTAATTGTAAATCAAATTTCCACAGACTGCAGTAGCCTGATTCACCTGTGGGAATTTAGCTCAAGTTGGGGTTTTCATGGTCTCTATCAAGTGTCTCTCTCTCTGAGGAGTCAAACACACAGTTAGTGGTTGCTGACTTAGTATTATTGATAAAACAGCAATACTGGACAACGAGCTAATTTTCATATAATAATCCACTCCAAATCCTATGGAATCAAAGAGGGGTTTCTGACGGAAAAAGGACCTTTGTTGCTATAAAAATATTAATTTTATTCCAAGATCTAAACAAGATGGAAAGAGAGAAACTTCCCTTGTTGAATATTTCAATCTGTATTTATTGATTAAAAAAAAAAAAAAAAAAAAAAAAAAAAAGAGAGAGAGAGAAATAAATGGTGTAAATTATGTGCATATTTGCTAAGGTGCTGATCTTCCTCCAAAGAATAGTGCCGTGGTGACTAGGACGGGAGGAAGCCAGTTCTGCCTTTGGTTAGTCCCTGAACTACTATCTCTACACTGCATCAAAGTACTAGAAATGAGGCATGAAATCCTGGATGTACTGAACTGCAAATCAGACTTTTAAGTTTTACCATTAATGTCAGAGGAACTAAGGTTTCGTCTCTACCTTTGCTGCTCTGCCTCAGCCTCTGCCCGTGCACATACACAAGCTTTTGCCAACATAGATACATTTTGCTGTGATGGTACCTCAGTACTCCTGCACAACTAAGCTGTTCCCTAGTGTAAGAACAGTGTATGATTCTGCGTTACTTCTGCAGAACTTTTGAGTTTTCTTCTGAGAGGAAATAACATTGTTTGGCTTCTCTAAAAATGTAACTTATTTAAGTAAAAGAGATGGTGCTGCTTTAGTTGGGAATTTGCAATTGCTCCCATATGTGTTAGGAAATAGTTCACTGCCAGGATTGGGATATTGTTCAGTTGTTACAAATTTGGAATGATTTTCCACAAAAAGCCATGCTTTCCAGTTCCAGTTGGAAGTTGTGACGTATATCAAAACCATAGAGCCACTTGTTGCCAGATACTGCAAACCCCAGTTCTAGGCTCATTAGACACCTCTTGGCAATCTTCACTTTACAAGCAGACTACATCTCCTCAAGTTTGTTTCCATTTTAATTGTGTATATTATTTTCAATAAGGCTGTAAAAGGTATTTTATATTCATCTTCACTTAGTTAGATGCAGTATTCAAAAGAAGCATGTTATATATATCAGGAGAAACAGACTGTCTGTCCCAGAAGGACTCTTCTGTGGATTTGGTTTGGGCTCACTAGTCAGGAACTTCAAGTTCTGATATAGTAGCATAGGACAGGTTGTGCTTCTTTATGCTTCACAACTTGCTGTGTGATTAAAATATGTTGTGAGGTACAACAGTGTCTCCTTTGTGTGTCCCCTTCATAAAATGCAAAATTAATATATACCTCTTTCACAAAAAATGATGCATTCAGGCAGTTCCCACATTCCTTTTACTTTGTATTGATTATTCCATGAGTATGTACAAATTTACTGCTGTGAGAAGCTGCTCCTATCTAAGGCAAGATAAGAAATACAGTTGTCTTAGTGGACCATATAGGAGCACTGTGTTGTTTTACATTTGTCTAATAAAAAATTGAACAAAATTACTCATTGTCTAATACAGCAACAATTTAAACTATGAATAAAACTGCATACCTGAGTAGTACCTAATTTGTTAAATTAGGCTTGCACAAATCTTCATATAGCTGTGACCTAAACACGAATACCTGTCTGACAATCTGTTGTAATCTGGATTCTCACTAAACTGAAGAGATGCCTTGATTGTATTGGTTATTGTATAACGTTTGATTTGTCCATCTTGTTTTTTAGATATCAATATATGTAAAACCATCTACTTTACTGTTTGAAATTGTGATTTGTGTTTGTGTTTCTGTTTCCAATATAGAATTGGAAATGCAAAATTCAAATGGATCAAAATGTCTTGTTCCTTTTCTAAAGCTGATTTTTATTTTGAGTAGATAATCCCTGTCATTTAGAATAAAGTGTTTTTATCTTAAGGTTTTGATGGAAATATTTCAATGCTTTTTAAAGGCTACATGACAATAACAAAAGCAGTGGTGGATCACTGATTAGAAACGTATTAAACAAAAAATTGTCATATAAACTAATTAACCTGATTTTAAAAATCTGTAACTATTACAAGTGATTGGTCAAATTTACTATGTGTAGGCTAGTAGAAAAGACTGTTTCTAGTTTTATTTTGATGGGATGTATGAGTTAATTTTCAGAAGAAAGAGGATTAAGTACAAACCTTTTGTGTCTCCAGCTTCACAGGTCTTAAACACTGTCTGTGAAATTGCTGAGAGGTATTCATGAGACAGAGGCTGCAAGCCACAGGACTCCTCTGGATGAATTCGACAACCACAGTCCTGAATTAAAATGAAATCTGTGAACATGACAGCACTGCACCCATTCATATGACTGAAATCCTCTTCAAGGACATTTAAAGAGGAAGTTATTTGGGGTTGGTTCTGCAATTCATCAATCCTTTGCTCTTCAATATGTATTTTTAATAAGAAATTTAGAAACCTTTTTCCATTCATACAATGGTTTTGTAATAAATTATCCCAATCCATAGTAAATGTACAAGATAGTGTATTTGCTAAAGATATAAGAAAAATTATTAAAGTAAACATATGACAGTCATGTAATGTCATGTTGTCTCTAGGTATCATATAAGCTCTACCTATTTGCCCTTAGCAATATTGTATGCATATCTGCAGTCATATGGAATGTATTTTTGTGATGAAATGCCCCAAGTTAGCTTCAGGAGATACAGGCACATAAAGGAAAAGCGAAAGAAAAAAGAAAAATTTCAAGGGGAAAATGATTGAGCTACTAGCAGAGAAATAGCATTCTTAGGATACATTTTTAATCTGCTTTAGATGTGCATTTCAGAATAAAATGAATCATATCCTAAAAATGCCTTTCTTCCTGAATTATAACAGGAGTTTAGAACAATTCAGAGGCATATATCTACATTAGTTCAGATGAATTTATCTTCAAATTACTTTGTAAAAATACTCATCCTACATACTGCATTGCCCAAACTGGTGCTATTGCCAGTTGTTTCATCAGAAGATAAGAGCATTCTGGGGTCGGTGTTATCTTAAGAAATAGTGTCTACTATCCCATATTTCATTTTCTCACCCTCATTTCTGTATTGTGGTAAGCTCACCAGAATACAATGGACTTTATTTTTTCACCAAAATCAAAAAGCTATAAAACTGGGACTTAAAATAGTGAAAAAGATCATTTTATGACAAAGGAGAAAATATTATGAAAAATTAACCATGGCAATCATTACTTAATGTGCTTTCCTTTTTAAATACTGTATGAAAAATGCAGTTGTGTCTCTTTCTGGCTAAGCAGATTATTGGTCATGGCAATGTCCAGTAATTAAAAATTTGCCTTTTGAAAGAATTGCATATGATTAGTACTACTAATTAGTTATAAACAAACTACAGAAATGGAAACACACTTTTACTGGAGTGTGTTCTTTTCAAGGAGTATTTCTGAAACCAAAAAGAAAAATAAAATGTAATTTCTCCCCTCCAAAAATAATTTCACTTGGTCTTCACTGAAATATGCTGATTTATATTTTTATTTTCTAAAATGATACTAAAATTATTTTGGTAACTGTCATGTAATATCATTCATTATTTTATTGTTCATTAAATTATGCTACATCTAGGATGTTATGCTTGAATCGGACCAATGAGTAAATGACAATTATGTCCTAATATTGTCAAGGTGAAATTTGACAGTAGGATATGTACCACTGATACAGATGGAGAAATTAATCCATCCTGGAATTTAGTAAATACTAGTGGGTCTTGATTATGGGATCAAAAATCAAAGTGAAATAGTTGTTTCATTATTATTCTGCTCTCATTAAATTTCATGGTGGGGAAAAAAAAAAAAAAAAGTAAAAAAAAAGCTTCCCACGGACTTCAAAGGGCTAAGTTAATTTTTGTGCACAAAAAGTCAGAGAAATGGTAGGTATGTGTGGGTTCTTTTGTACAGTTGTCCTGTTCTCTGTTTAATGCTCTATAACTAGGGAACGCTGTTATGACAAAATGAATGGCATGGTATCGTCTAGCATTAAACTGTGATGTCTTGGAGCCTCTGGGTCTGGACACACCGTACAGCTATTTGACAGTATTACTTCAACTAACATTAACATCAGAAAGCTCCTACTTTGCAGTAAAACAATTTGCACAGGACTTTACATGAAAGCCCTAAATTCCTGAATGTGCTGCTATTGCCCTCAACATAGTGTCATAAAATAACTTAACAGGGATTTTCTTGTTCATACCTCTGCCCAGGGTATGTGTTTAAACAAACAAAATTGATTTTAATTGCATTCCTTGGACAATATCATTAACAACAGTTTCATGTGGCTAGTCTATCACAATCAATATGCAGGTCAAACCATGTCACTGATTCCCTTTGACTTCGTTGTGTTTTCAAAGTATGCAAGCCATGAATTTTAAAGGACATTGCTTATTTTTCATATGTAATTCCCATCTAAAACTACAGACTCATGAGAGATTGTGAATCACTGAACAAACCTTATTTATTTCATCTTTACTTTTTGTGGGAGACCAATGCTTTATCATTATTGATATATTTAATATAATGTGCAAAATTAATCTGTGGCAGCTATAGATTTCCAACAGGTCCACAAATGTATGGCATATTAAGGGATTTTCTAACTGTTTGCAGATTTTTTTAAAGTTTTCTTCAGGTGCTGAAGTGACATGACATCCTTCTTGCCTTGCCCAAAGATGAAGTATCTTGTGATCTTAAGTGGGTTTACAAAAGATCACTCATGGCAAAGATGAGAGCCAGACATGTAAACTTAAATGATAGCTCTTCCTCTGTGTCTGTTCTCCCTGCAAACCTTCATTTTTAGAAGGCAGACATAAATAGGCCCTTGAAATGTCTGGACTAGAATCAAAGAAAAATTCCCCTGCATTACGTACTTCAGTGCACAGTTAGAATCGACTCTTTATAAGACTGGTTTGGCATTTTACTAGTAAACATTCTTTTATCTTCATGGAAGATTTTCTGGACACTAGCAAATAAAAGAGGAATAAAGCTTTCCTCTGTACATCTAGATAGCTTTCAGTCAACACCAATTGATACTTAGAGAGTGAACATTTCTGGAGTCCATCTGCTGTGTGAAATGAGAACTGTTTCCGTTCATCCCACACTATAGTGAACTTGTTGCTTCATAAAGTTTTAGCCTTTAAGAGATCATTCAGGTTTTTGTGAATGCTACTTTATAGTTTTCTCAAATTATTAATGTGGAGCTATTAATGCATATATGATTTAATTTATTTATAGTCTAGGTGCCTGATTAATAAGTATTTTGTTTGTTTAGCTCAGCTTCCAATAACTGCACTGTATTTCCTCTCAATTATAGATATATACATACATAGTTTCACTCAGGTGTACTATTAAAAAAAAAAATGCCAGTTTTTAAATCATATAATTGTGTGTGAGAGAGATAACCAAAACATTATGAAGATGATCCAGACACAGCGAATATAATGGAATGAATGTCATGTAGATAATACCATTGTAGTTGCTGTTATGTTTTAGATTAAGAGATCTAACTTAACTATGAATGGATTTTTAATTGCTGCTGTACCTTTTTACCACCTTCTCCCTAATGAAAGAATGATTATTCTGACACTTCAGTAATTGACTACAGCTTAACCCCATAAGCTTCCACCAAACTGGAAGCTGTTAAAAGGAGAGAAGGTAAGAAGCCCATGACTTGTTTGGGAAAAGTCATATCTAATAGGGATAAATTGTCCATCTGTGTTTATTTGAATGGTCAGTGCTCCAGCAGCGACAGAGCACCACATAACAAAAATAAAGTTACTTTTAGCATCTACAGCTGCTGCTACCTTTTAGCTCAAAAAGGCATTTTAAAATAGGAAGGTACGATTTTCAGAATTTTTCTGGAATAATCCAACTCTGTCCATTCAAAGCTGTTGCTAAAACTATCATTTTCAGTGAAATTAGATTTTGGAAACTCCCACCTGGGATGCCTGTATCTAGGCTCTGCACTCAGCTTTCTCAGTAAAAGTCCTTCTTGCATTTGTATTAAAACACCTAGTGATCAATGGGCATGGTGGGCTCAACACATTGAAAACCAGGTAATTTCTCCGTAGGTACTCATGTTTGAAATTGCACCCAGCCCAAATCACTGAAGACTACCTCTACTAGATTAATAAAGGATCAGCATATCAGAATGTCTTAAACTAAACATGAGAAATATAATTTAGCTCACAGGAATTCATTTTCGCATTGCATGCAACTAACATGTAGCCAAAATCCTGCATCTTTTTAACATCCAGAGCCCACACGTGTCTGGGAACTAGAGGATGAGATAATTCTCATTCACTAAATCTTGGTCAAGAAGGGAGGACACCACTCCATACATCAAGCTCTGATCCTGCAGTCCTTTGTCCAGCGCTGCCCATCAGCTTGGCATGTCACCCAGCCACCTCCCCTAAGGCACCACAGCCCTGCCTCGTCTTAGGATGCTGCCAGCGCTGCATTATTTCTCTTGACTGTTTACCTTTTAGACATGACAGAACAAAGCTTCCTGTGAAAGAGGTAATTTTGAATGCTTTTCTGTTGGCTTTTGTAGGCTCACCGACTTAACTTTATTTGATCTGGTTCTATTTAAGCTGACCCAAGTTTCTCATGAAATCCTTTTATGTCTCCTTAGTCCATCTTTTTCTACTATTTTACACATAACTAAAACTGGATGAAAAGTGATAAAAAATGATGCTATGGAAGGAATTCTAATAAAATTAGTCAAAGAGTGAGCTCATGAAATAGTGAAATTGTATCTTATTGCTAGGGAATAAATTGTGAGCAGATGGATTAGTTCCACTCGATCAACTTTATTAATATGGCAGTAATAAATGAAGGAACAGTTGGCATACTGACTTCTATTCAACCATCTCCTTCTGTCCATCTGCATTATTCAGTGATAGATGAATCTCTAAAGATTCAGAGGTTCAACACCCAAATTAACTGGATCGAACCGAAACTCCTGGGTGTACAAAATAGTTCTAGAAAACTCTCACAATGAGTGAGGAAGTCTCCCAAGAAATTTCAGTTCACTACTGATTTTGGCTGGGAAACAGTGACTATTATTATTCATCAAGCACTGTCTAAGACACAGATGAAGACATCGCCTACATCAAAAGACACACAAATCCATTAAACAGAGAGTATAGGATTAATGGAGTAATGTGTCCGTGTGTTGCAGCTATGTTTTAAAGGAAAGAAACTGCCACCACTGTGCTTTGCAAGGAACATAATGAATTCCATCTGCAAA